CATTCCTCCTCATCAAATTATACAACAAAATTTCAAAAATTTAGACGACAAGCTGAAAATATCAAAATCAATTTTGCGTCTGGTAATGGTGAGGACTACAATGAGGTTTTCTCCATTCATGAGCTAGATACTGCCTTAGGGCAAGCTCATGATACTGCTACGGGTCCTGATAGCATTCATTATCAGTTACTTTAACATTTACCTGATTCCTGTTTAGAGACGCTGTTAAATATTTTTTATCAAATATGGACAACGGGTAATTTTCCTCCTCGTGTCATTATTCCAATTCCAAAACCAGGTCGTGACCATACTGATCCTTCCAACTGTAGGCCAATATCGCTTACTAGTTGTGTTTGTAAAACCATGGAAAGAAGGGTCAATAAGAGACTAATATGGTACTTTGAAAGAAATAATCTTATCACGAATATCCAGTGTGGGTTCAGGAAAATCAGAATTACCATTGACCATTTAGTTTGGGGTTCGTAAAGAATGCTATCATCAATATTTTTTTATCTAGAAAAAGCATATGATACAACCTGGAAACATGGAATTTTGAAAGATCTTCATGAAATGGGTCTGAGAGGCCGTTTGCCTAATTTCATATCACAGTTTTTAACAGATCGACATTTCCAGGTGCGTGATGATATAGTTTATCGAAAGTGTTAAATGCCTCTGTTGATGGGTCATTATTTGTTGATGATTTTAACGTATCATGTCGAGGTAATAATATGCACACGACTGAGAGACATTGCAGCTCTGTCTCAATAAAATTAATGATTGGTCAGAACGAAATGGCTTCAAGTTTTCTAAATCTAAACCTAACTGCATCCATTTCTGTCGTAAATATAAACCACATAAGGACCCAGACTTACATCTATCGGGTACTACCATTAAAGAAGTTAAGGAAGCTAAATTTTTGGGTATCATATTTGACCATCATCTTAAGGTTTACCTCATATCAAATATCTTAATGTAAAATGCCTGAAGGCATTAGATCTCTTAAAATTCGTCTCCAATGCTAAGTGGGGAGGTGATCAGTCGACCCTCCTTCACTTGTATAGAGCACTAATTCGTTCTAAACTCGACTATGGTTCGTTTATGGTGGAGCATGCAAAAGCAACCTTAAACTTTTATATTCTGTCCACCATCAAGGTCTTAGATTTTGTCTTGGATCATTTAAAACACCACCTATTGACAGTCTGTATGTGGAGGCTGATGAGTATGGAATCCTGGAAGGGACATTGTCTCGTTGTCGCATTGTCGCGTTGTCGCCCTCTCAAAAACGAACAAAAATTGGCAAAATTAACCAAATCGCGACACCCTATGTAAGCCTAAAAATTTACTAAAACGCGACTCGCGACACGCGACAATGCGACAACGTTACATTTTGATGAAATGTCGCGTTGTCGCATTGTTGCTTGTCACGCTTTGTTAAAAAATTGGGTATAGTATGTATTATAACATATGACTAAAACGCGACACGCAACAATGCGACAAAATATTATGTCGCATTGTCGCGTTGTCGCCCTTTTCTATTACCGGTGCGCATGTGTAGAAAGTCAATTAGTCTACGCATGCGCAGAAAATGTTATACTCTATTTCACACTTCACTGGTCTTTTGTTACCTCCAATGGTTTTTACAATGAAGTAGTGCTCGTAATTGCAATGGGGGCTGCTTTTCTTGAACTTAAAGAAAATCTTTCATTGTTGCTTTATTATTGTATATATTGTAAATGAGTTTAGCCAATCAAGTGTGTTTTAGCAGCAAGACAAATCATTAGCGCTACTATTCATTGCAAGAGTTGCTTGACAACGGTACAAGAATCTGTATCGAAACGTCGCACTCACGAAATAAAGAAGTTGTTATCCATAAAAAACTTGTTCCAAAGTGATGTCCAGTTTGGATCCTGACAGAGTTTCTTGGTACAGTCCTGTCCGACGGTGATGAATTTGAGTGAGGGGAGCGGGAAGCGGAGTGGAGTGAGTGAGTGAGGCAGCGAGGGTTGATTTCTGGCACTCCAAGGGTACGCAACTCTGCCAAGCGATTTCACCGGTTTTAATATCATAATGATAACAGTCCTGCTTGACTGTATTGATTTTCTTAGTGTCAAAACAATTATCGATTTTTTATAAGAAATTGAATTATTAGATAGATTTTGAACAATATGTTTTGTAAATAGATAAATATAATTTCATTATCAATGGTAGTACATATACTCATGCCAATAATGGTTGTCACCCCCTTCAATTTATTTAATTGGAGAGGGGGTTGGGGGTGAGGTGTGTGAGGGTTGGGGTGGTGTTGACAACAATTATTGGCATGAGTATATGAGCAAACTGCGATTGTTAGTGGCTGTATCCTCAAAGGGGGTTAAAGTATATTAAAATTATTGTCCTCCTGAGAGGATACGCAAGTCCCAAAACTTTCAAGGTCAGTTTAGCTCAACCATGCTTTTTTAACGTAGAATATTTGTTATTTTAAATTATGGCTAAATATTAATCAGACAGTGTTCAACCCACCCGGACTTGAAACTGCCTGTCTGTTAAAATCTGTGATATAAAATGACGTTTCAAAACAAAATCCTTTAATTTGTCATTCTTCCAAGTAATATCATGTGCTTTTACAAGATCAAAGAAGATTGATGCTGCATGTTGTTAAGTTACTACAGCATTTTAAACAAAGGGTTCTAATCGTACCAGTTGATCAGTGGTACTTCGATTCTTTTCGGAAACCACATTGAATACAATGTACTTGTAATAAGGTTATTGGTTTCCAGATACCAAATTAATCTATTATCTACCATTCGTTCCATGGTTTTACAGATACAGCTGGTTAGAGATATGGGTCAGTAATGTAATGGGGGAGTGAGTGAGTTAATATTTAACATCACACCGGCAATATCTCAGCCATTTCAAGACTAAAAAAATTCATACAATAAGTAATATAATCGGTTTGATCTCGGCCAGGTTTTGGTATGAGGACTACAGTGGTATTATTCCATGAAGGAGTGAAAAGTTCTAGAGGTCCTTATTGGGTCAACTGTAACTGAAAGTGTCCCCGACATGACCTAGGCAAATGTTTCAGTAGCTGATAATGGATATTACCATCACCTGCTGCAGTACCATATGCTTGCTCAATAGCTGTTCTTTCTTTTCCTGTTATCTCTGAAACTGAGGGTCATATTTGGACGATGAAGGATTTTATTTGCAATTTCAGATTTGTCAGTTATTAAGTTGTCTTGTGGATGGTGAAGAGTAGATTTTGAACCTTTACCTTATATTCTCTGAACCATGTTCAGACATGGACGTGCGTGAATTAATTTTGGAAACAGAGTTCCTAAAGATTGGCGTTTATTTTGTTTGTAGGCACGTAAGCGAAAATGTTTTCCCGCTTTCTTCCTACATTTTCTTGCTTGTTTGCATTCATTGTTAACCCATGGTTTTTCAATATGAGGAGTTGAAGAGGACTTAGGAGTTGTTTGGTCAGCAATTTCTGCTATCCAATGTCCTGTGTCCCCGCAGTTTGCTAATGATTTTAATTGAGAGCAGAATCTAATAGTGTATCTATTTCCTTAGCAGAGAACCAGATCGCATTTTTGTCCTTCACTTCGTAAGCCAAACTGTCGATCTCTTTTGCGAATACGATAGGATTTAACTTCAGCGGGCCACCATCCAGTGCAGTCATCACAAGGAAATGAGGCCAATTATCCGGGTTTGCGCGAACTGCAGGAACCTCATCCTCCGAAGAAAACAAATCGTCAGATCCGTGTGAACGTATTTTGAGTGGTGGTGCCATGGTAGAAATATCTTCTGGCAAATTACCAAATTAGTTATTTGTGTTTTCAACAACCAATAATGGCCCAGACGAAACGATATATGTCAAAATACTTAGCATGCTTGGCGTGACCAGCTCATTGATGGAACCGAGCCCATTTTACCACCCACCCAGGTGAAGTCAGGGTCGAAGGGTATTTGCGTATTGGGCAAAGGAGAGCAACCATAATCCCTTCCTCCACCGACAGGTTGCCTTATTCGGGCGTGTCTTCAGACCAGCACTGGGGTGCTGAGAATCGGGGAAAGAACGATTAGCGTTACCCACGGGGAGGTTGCTCTTCACGAATTCCAATTAGAGAACTGAGGGAATAGCGAGGGTGCTGGGCTGCCTGTTGTCTTACATGATTTTTTTGTGCGAAGATGTGAGAATCTTGAATTTCTTGGGTTTTTTCTAATAACCAACACCAAAGGATGGGCGCTAAATGAGTATTATTGGCTTTAACTTTATTAAGAGCGTTCAGCTCTGACCTCCAGTTTAAAAAAAAAATGTTTTCAAGATTAGAAGATTAGAAAAAAAAGAAGTGAAGAGAGAGCGTGTGTTATTACGTGATCCTGGCACTGTCGGGCATGTTAGACCCATCACAGCAGATGGGACCTCTCCCAGCAAGCACTACCTAGTCGAACCCACCAAGAATATTCTGGAAAATAAGCCATGTTCCAGATGGATAACCCGGGCACACTGCACCTAGTGATCAGGACGTACCAAACCAGAGGCACCGAGAAGAATGTGGAGCCTGACGACAGTGTACTTTGGACGCAAGGAAACATTCAGATCCGATTCTTGGCAACTCACATTACTGTAAAAAATGACAGAAAATTCCATCACATCTACCACACTTCAACCTCCCAAATCAATTGACATATATAAACGAATAAGAGAGGACTGACGGTGGTCGGCTCTGTTGTCAAACATGACCCTTTTATTCAGCCGGTCAAGGCTCTGGATACCCTGCTTTGTGCAAATAGGAAAAGACTGGCACAGCAAAAATAGTTAGTGGCTTTGACTTTATTCTGGCTATTCAGGTCTGAACAGCTTTTCTGAAGTGAGTTTTTTACTCAGTTGTAAGTGTGTCTTGCATTTGGGCTTTCTGGAACTTGCATTCATAGATAGTACCTGATCTTTCAAACAATGCTCAATAACTCCTATTATTAATTCCCGCAGATGCGGATCGTCCTGAAACTTTGTGTTACAGCCTTGGTACTAGTGACCGGTGCAAGAGCACAGGTTGACAGTAAGTAGTCCTTATATCTCCTTCAGTCCCGGCTTACTTCCCAATCAGGTCAACTGGAAAATTTTGAATTGGTAGTCTTGAGATTTTGTATTATTAAGAGGTGTTCATGTTTTATACCACAATTGATAATTTTAAATACTTTAGCGTGACATTCAAACTCGATCAGAATTAAATATCCTTGGTGTATGTTTGCAGTCCTGACGTTTAAGGTTGACTGTATTCGATGTTGGAGACAGAATTCACATTCTGAATACATGCCAAGTAATGCACTAAAATATAATACTGAAAATACTTTCATATATTTATCTTTTATTACAAGCAGACATTTAATTTTAGTTTGCGATGATGTATCTGTGCTGATGGCTACCCCAACGCCCCAGATACTCACCTCTGTGAGCATAGAGACGAATGAATATACTCGTGTATTGTGTACAGTCCAAATCACGGTACCAGTCGGCTCGTCTTTGAAACTGAACTTTACGTCAGTTATCAATCCCAACCCGGATCCCATTGAAATATACCGAATAGGTGAGTTTATACTAAAAAGGTATAATCAGACCAGCACAACTGGTTGGTATAGTTGCACGGATGTTAGTCTGGCCCCGATTTCTCGAAACAAACTTAAGTCTGAGTTTTTACTCAAATTTGAGAAAACGCAGGAAAATGCTTTTCCCAGAATAAACTGAAATCAATATTGAACTCAAACTTAGCAGACAATTTGAGTTTGGTGGATAGATTACTTAAGTTGTTTGGGCTTTGTTTAGTTAAAAAAATGCAGTTGAGTTAAAAATTCATCTGTTTCAAATTGTCAAACTCAGTTTGAAATTTGAGTAAAAACTTAAGTTTGTTTCGAGAAATCGGGGCCAGGACAGCGTACGGTCAATGGCTTGGTTCCCTGGCTATGTCATCCTAAAAGGCGTTAAAAGATGACACTGTTGTGTATCTGCATTAAGCTCGACACAACATGGATAAATTGGGAATAGTCGGCTTCGAACGGTGTATCTATGTTTCTCTCATTTATCTCACTAGACTCACATTTGATCCAGCTAAAGTCCGGACTAGCACAGCAGACGCGTGCATAAACGTCATTATATGAATGAAGTTATCTTGAATGTGACGTAAAAATCCATTACATTTCAACCTTTATTGGTCAGTATTGTGTAAAGATGGAAGAAGGTCATATGTGAATCCAGGGGCAAGAATATATCCCAATCAATAAATAGATAGTTGTCGACTAAAATGGACCTGAATGTTTTCTTTTTAGTTAGGCTGCGTGAACCCAGCCACGTGTTAAGAACGCATTATGTATGCCCCACTCAATCATTTTTGTCAAGTAAAATTGTGTTAATATTCTTGTCAACTTCATTATCAACAATGTCTTTTATGATGGTACTCCCGTGAAGGTTCGGGTTAGAATGAGCCTTCAGTAACCCATGCTTGTCGTAAGAGGCGACGAACGGGATCGGGTGGTCAGGCTCGCTGGCTTGGTTGACACATGTCATCGGTTCCCAATTGCGCAGATCGATGCTCATACTGTTGATCACTGGATTGTCTGGTCCAGACTCTATTATTTACAGACCGCCGCCATATAGCTGGAATATTGCTGAGTGCGGCGTAAAACTAACCTCAATCCGTCACTTCTATGATGACACACACCGATGCGAGTGAATAATGAACTGATTAAACATTAAGTTATATTAATATGCAAATGTTATCATGTGTCGACAAAGCTGAAACAGTCATTTGTAGGATAGTAAGTTTTGTTCGTTCTTGTTTAGATCCGTCCGTCAGTCGCAGACGTTATGTCGGAGTCTCCATGAATATTCGGTTCGGCTATGGCCCACCCATCTACGTCTTTTCTGGATCTGTCTACGTCGGTATAGAATATGACGTCTTACCAAGTACAACATTTATCATGGAATATCAAGAAGTGGCCTTCGAGGAGAACAGTAAGTTGGTGCCACTTTGGATAGTATTTGAGAACCTTTGGATCTCAGTTGTATATAGGGGTCGACTGTGCGCATATGAATCGAGTCGTGTAAAAGGACACAGAAACATTGCATTTTCGTTTTGATTTTCGCGTTAGTGAGTCAATTTAAGTCACGTCGGCAGTATTTTTTAACCATATTGTGACTTGGTCAAATTATACAATTCTACAATAACTTTAAACATTATATTTCAAGCTAAAAGTTGTCAACAAAGGACAGTAAAATAACTAGACGATCACAGACAGAGATTTAAAACTAGTATGACAATCTAAAACGTTTTACGGGGCGGCGGGGTAGCTTCGTGGTTAAAGCGTTCGCTCGTCACGCCGAAGACCCGGGTTCGATTCCCCACATGGGTACAATGTGTGAAGCCCATATCTGGTGTCCCCCGCCGTGATAATGCTGGAATATTGCTAAAAGCGACGTAAAACTAAACTCACTCACTCACTAAAACGTTTTAATATAGAAGACAAAACAATATAATACCAGGCTATAAAAGTCCAACAACTGAAGGTGGATCACCATACCAAGGACGATTTTGCTGTCAAATACTGATTGTAGTTAGACAAACAGGATAAAGAGCTAAGTCTAAAGTGTCTACCACATCTACCTTTACCACCGTTAGATTTACCTTTACGATGCTTACTTTGCGAGCCCACACTGTGTTTTAAACTGTCAATGAAGTATACGACTGTCAGACAATGAAAGAAACATATTCTTCATTACAGATAAAATAAATGCATCGTCAGACTGGTTAAACAACGTGATCGATAGATAATCTACATTTCACATAAAGATCTTGATTGATTGAGTGAGTGAGTTTATATTTATTGTCACATCGGCAATATTTCAGCTATTATCGTGACGAGAACAACTAATTATTGTATTGCAGAGCAATACAGTTAGAAAGTAAAAGCCTGTTGACGAAGAACAGTAAAATTACCAGTGTACAACAGATATTAAAGTAAAACTAGCATGTTGTCATAAAACGGTATTTTCAAAGAGAACAATACAATATAAAAACAGGCTATAGATTGCCAACAACTGAAGGAAGAACACAGATTTTGATGGAGAATCTCACTTTGACGTTTACGAGTTAGAATTAATTATTATTTATATATATATAATATATTAATGCGGGTTAGGGGTGAGTGAGTGAGTGAGGTAAGATTAAACGTCACATCGGCAATGTTTCAGCCATATAGCAATAAGAAGAATTTGAATAATAGTAAAAGTCTGTCTACAACGGGCAGTAATGAGTGAGTGAGTTAATATTTATCGTCACATCGGCAAAATTCCAATGAACGAGAACAATGTATGATTATAAACTCTGTCAAAAAAGAAACGCAACCCCTGTATTTTAGAGATTTTGATCTGAAGTTTTAGGACGACACGGCATTTTTATTATTTAAGACAGAAGTCTGAAATTTGGCAGAATAATAACCCAGATGGGCATGTTGAAAATTGTCATTTCAAAAGTCATCTCACAGACACCAGTTTGTCACCAGGGGGGCGTCTGTCTCAGTATCTCGTATGAGCACCACGCGCTGCAATCACTGCACGGCATCTCCTTGGACAAGAACGGATAAGACGCCGGATTCTTTCCTGGGGGAATGGCTCTCCACTCCTCCTGCAGTGCAACGGCGAGCTGTTGCAGCGTCTGTGGCGGCGGCTGACGTTGACGTACGCGTCGATCCAGAGTATCCCACAGGTGTTCAATAGGGTTGAGGTCTGGTGATTTAGAGGGTCATGGCAAGACATTGACGTTGGAATTCTGCAGAAAGTTCATTGTTGCACGTGCAGTATGAGGCCGGGCGTTGTCCCGTTGAAAAATCTGTGTCTGTTGGTCAATAATCGGGAGAAGGTGAAGCTCTAACACGTGGTTGATGTAACGTTGGGCTGTCAGGTTCCTGGAACGATCACCAAGTCAGATTTCTGGTTGTATGAGATGGTTCCCCAAACCATGACGCTTTCTCCGCCAAATCTGTCCACCTGTCGGACGCAGATGGGCGCTAAACGTTTATGACGTCTCCTATACAGACGCTGTCTTCCGTCGTGACGTTGCAAAAGAAAACGTGATTCATCAGAAAACCAGATTCGCCTCCAGTTTTGTAAAGTCCGTATCCTTACGTTGTTGCACCACCTGAGTCGTCGGCGTCGATGTAGGGGCGTAGTACAGGTCCAACAACTGGTCTACAGGCACGTAAACCCGCTTCTTTCAGACGGTTCCTAATCGTTTGAGCTGACACTCTCCTCAAACCTGGTATTTGTGTGGCAGTCACGGTTGGTAGGGCATGCCGATTACGCAGGTGATGGACCCGGATGTACCGATCTTGAAGGGGGGTCGTGATTCTTGGCCTTCCACTTCTCGGGCGATCGTTGGTCAAATTGAAGTTGTTGTAGCGGCTCCAAAGTCGGGATATCGTTGTTTTGTGAACATTTAGGTGCCGTGCAACAGTTCCAAAACTTTCTCCGGCTTGAACACGACCAATGGCGATATTTCGGTCGGCAGCACTCAATCGTGGCATTTTAACACAGCTTTTCGGCGACAAATGAATGAATATAATACGGAAGCACATGGGCTTTTATACACCCCTACATTAACTGCCATTTTCATGATTTGCATGTGGTTTTTTTGTGCGAAGTCACCATGAGGGTCATTTCATGCGTTGTGACGGAATAAGCAATAAAATACACTTATGCGTACAAATGCAGTTGTTTGGATGGTAATCTTCATTAATTACGTGTATCATTTCAATACATTCGAATAAAATTTAGTTTGGAAGCAATAACTTCATTCAAACGAATTTTTCATATCTGAGGACAGGGGTTGCGTTTCTTTTTTGACAGAGTTTATTATAGATCAATAAAATTAGAAATTAAAAGCCTGTTGATGAAGAAAAGTAAAAATACTAGTGTATCACAGATATCCATTTAAAACTAGTAATTCAATTTAAAATATTATAACTATAAATGACAAGACAATATATACAGGCTATAGATTGCAAACAACTGAAGGTAGATCACCATACTAGGGACCATTGGGACTTACAGTACATTTGCTTCCGGCATGGGCCCTAGCTGGATTTACATCATCCTTTCAGCTGTTAGCAATTTAGACACATCTAGCCATACATTAAAATACACATATTCTACGATTAATAAAGTGAGAGTTTTAATTTCCTTTGAATGTTTTGGGACTTACGTACCCTCTCAGGAGGACAATAATTTTACAGTTCTTTAACCCCCTTTGAGGATACAGCCACTAAGAATCTGAGTTACTAATTTAAACTTCCAATCGTATAATATTTATCTATTTACAAATTATTCAACAAATCTATTTCTTTTATAACTAAATGAGAACTTATATTATTAAAAGATCCTTCACAGTTCGTGATTTGAAATAGTTATCCCTTGTGATGGAATATTCAATACAGTCAAGCAAGAGGATACAAAAGGGATACAAAATGGAGGATCCTCACCTTTTAACAGGTATCCATGAGTATATCTAGTATGGCCAATACGATATCGTCGCATGATGACCTCTTCAAATCTGGACTGACAACCCAAGTAGGTGTAAGCAATATAGGGTTTTATTGCATGTAATTTATTGATACCTACGTGGTTGTCTCACTTCTTCTGCATCAAATCACGGATGTAAGTTCTAATGCTAGCTATGTAATCAGAGTATGGAATAAGAAGTGGTGTCACAGATTTGGTGATCGACCACTGGGTTACCAGATTCCCACAAGGCTGGGTAACCTACAGAAGACGATGTCGTATTGGCCAGTTGCAAGGCCATTATATAACTAAATAATTTCAACTAAAAGAGGATTTTACAAGATTTGTTATAGCCTGAAGGCATGAGAGGGAACCTGAAAGCATTATATATTGTTGATACTTTGGGTGCTTTTTAATATAGTTAAGGCACGTTAATATAGCGTTTGCTTCTCGTGTAAAATTAGAGCTGTTATACGGTTTTCATGAAGATATTATTCTGGATCCAGTGACACAAGCAACTGTGCCACCATCTTTGGGTACATCTGTAGTGAGTGAGTTAAAATTTAACGTCACCTTGGCAATACGTAAAAATCACCCAAATCAACTGGGCCCTGCGTATTCCCTTGGTGTCAAATGTGAAACAAACAGTGAACGATTCATGAGATATCTCACTGACAAGCCTTACATGTCCCGCGCCTCCATCTATCAAGACATATCCCTCTCTTACACTGCCGTTAACTGCTCTGAACTTGACTCTGACAACTGGCATAATACTCTCTTGGTCAAGAACCGAAGCACCACTTGCCCTCTGCAGATTGATGTGAATCAGCATGTGATGTGTTCTCATACAGTCATGTTGTACACAAGGTTTCTTCAGCCTACAGTCTCTGGTAATATGACCCTTGGTTAAGCAGGAGAAGCAGAACCTGTAATAAGATCTAACCTCTAACTCACTGTCGAGTCAAAGAATGTAGGACACTCTTGTATTGTGTGGTTCATGTGACAATTGTAGCAATGAAGATCTCTTCTCTTTGCAGCATGCACTCTTTTCTCTGATCTCTGGGCTTTTCTCTGTCAATGTCCCCAAAATCTGGATCAAATTTTGCTCTGACTTTCCGCCTTACAAACTCGCAGACGCTTGTAAGATCTGGAGCTTGACCTCTTTCTCTCATGTCAGCAACCGTGGATTTCCAACTTGAAATTAGGGGATCTGGTAGGCGTCTAATTATTTGACTGTTCAGCAAGTCCATGGAAAAGGTTCTCAGTGAATGGCGATCAGTTATTCTGATGTTTCCCTTCGTAAGCTTGCTGATGTGCGCCCTAGCGATGACACTCCTGTGACCGTAGAGATCCTTGATAGTCTTCAGCGCCGTGGCATACATCGTGCCTGATTGATCCAAGTCCTCTAACAGCCAACTCTGTATCACCTGTTAATGGCATCTTAAGCTGAACCATCCTCA